GGAAGGAAGGAAGGAAGGAAGGAAGGAAGGAAGGAAGGAAGGAAGGAAGGAAGGAGGGAAGGAGGGAAAAGATGGGATGACCGGCCAGAATCTGTCCTGAGCTCACCCAGTGGTTGTTCTGGAGTCGGCTCCCAGAACCACGCCCCCTTCAAACTGCACGGCCATGATAGTGGTCTGGGAGAAAGGAGAACGGGGTGAATCTGGCCCTCCTCCCCATCCTCCCGCATACACAGATTTCACTGATCCCTCAATGCAGTCCCTGGAGTGGGCAAGTCGTGCGCCACCGACCGCTAGCAAGTCTCCTTGGGGGCCCGAACACCACCGCACAATACCACAACGCCAATCCTCAAATCCTCAGAGGCCCATCCTGGCCTGAAACCCTCGTCCCGCAAGTTTCCGCGCTCCAGCCTCCCTCCCACACCACTCTCCAACATCCTCAGGGTACCTCTTCCCTGCTACAGCGCATCAGACCACCTCCCTCCCGCGCCCTCCAGTTTTCCAACCCACTCAGGCCTCATCCTCCCATCGCATCAAGCCTTGGGCACGTCTCCTGAACCCCGAGTGCCTCCTCACCCCTGTGGAGACTTCCCGGCTTTCCCAGTCCGGGGTAATGGCCTCGGGACCCCAGGCCGGCGCGGACCCCACTCCTCGAGCGGCTACTAAGGTGGCCGCCATCTTCCTCCCCCGGCACTGCCACAAAGCAACTGTCGTAAAGCGCTCTGTCACGCTCTTCAGTCCCGTGGTGAAGCCGTCTGCGAGCGAAGCTAAGTCGCGGTTGACGGCAGAAGGGAAAAGAACGGCGCAGGGAAGGTTCTTTTGCGACAGTGAGCGCTTGACGGCAGCGTGGCCAGCCGACACACAGAAAAGCGTCCAAGACAGTGTGGAAGGCCTACGTTTCCCATGGGGCTGCGCGGGACTGACGTAATCTGATGGGAGTTGCAGTTCAGAGTGTTGGGATGCGCTTGAACGTCTCTGAATTAGAATGGCCCCGCTGCTCTCATTTCTCTTAGGTGTACACACTTAGGACCGTATACCAGGAGTGGAATGGCTGGGTCATGTAGAAACTCTAGACTTAGCATTTTGAGGAAATGACAGTTTCCCATAGCAGCTGCCCCATGTGATGGTCCACCAGCCCCGTGTGCATGCCTGAGCGTTGCGATGTCTGCACATCCTCACTGGCCGTCACTGTGCACTATTTCAGCCGTCCTCGTGGGCGTGAAGTGGCATCTTGTGTAGCTTCTCTTCCCCGCCCCGCGCCCCACTTCCTTAATGATTAGTGATGTCCAGCATATTTTCACGTGCTGACCATTTGTATATCTTCTTTGGAGAAATGCCTATTCAAATCCTTAGCCCTTTTTATTTTTATTTTATTTTATTATTATCATTTTTTAAGTAATCTCTACACCCATCGTGGGGGCTCCGATTCACAACGCGGAGATCAAACATCATATGCTGCAGCGACTGAGCCAGCCAGGTCCCCCCCAAATTGGGTTATCTTTCTGTTGTTGAATCCTAGGTGGGTTTTTTTTTTTTTTATCTCTAGATACTAGGCCTTTACCAGACATAAGATTTGCAAATATCTTCTCCCATTCTCTAGATTGTCTTTTCACTTCCTTCATTGGTGTTCCTTGAAACACAAACATTTAAAATTTTTAAAAATATTTATTTGAGAGAGCATGAGCGGGGGGAGGGGCAGAGGGAGAAGCAGACTCCCTGCTTGATGCAGGGCTTGATCTCAGGACTCTGAGATCATGACCTGAGTGGAGAAGACAGATGCTCAACCGACTGAGCCACCCAGGTGCCCCTCCACTCTGATCTTTATTATTTCTTTCCTTCTGCTTTTTTTTTTTAAGTTTTAGTTTGCTCTTCTTTTATAGTTTTTTTTTTTAAGATTTTATTTATTTATTTGACAGAGAGAGACACAGCGAGAGAGGGAACACAAGCAGGGGGAGTGGGAGAGGGAGAAGCAGGCTTCCTGCTGAGCAGGGAACCGGATGCGGGGCTCGATCCCCGGACCCTGGGATCATGACCTGAGCCGAAGGCAGACGCTTAATGACTGAGCCATCCAGGTGCCCCCTTTTTATAGTTTCTTAAGGAGGATGGTTGATCTATTAATTTGAGATCTTTCTTCATTTTTAAAATAGGCATTTACAGTGACAAGTTTCCCTCTGAGCATTGCTTATGCTGCATCCCTGAGTTTTGATATGTTTTGTTTTCATTTTCACTCATCTTACAATGTTTGCCCTGTGATTTCTCCTTTGACCCACTGGCTGTTCAGGAGTATGTTGTTTCTTTTCTACGTATTTGGGAATTTCTCAAATCCCTTCCTGTCACTGATTTCTAGTTTCATTTCCTTTTAGAGAATATTTTGTGACTTCAGTCTTTTAAAATGTATTTTATTTTATTTATTTTTTTAAATATTTGTTTATTCATTTATTTATTTGTCACACAGAGAGAGAGAGAGCACACCAGAGCATGAGCAGGGGGAGCAGCCGAGGCAGAGGGAGAAGCAGGCTTCCCGCTGAGCAGGGAGCCTGATGCGGGACTCCATCCCAGGACCCTGGGATCATGACCCGTGCCAAAGGCAGACGTTTAACCCACTGAGCCACCCAGGCATCCCTAAAATTTATTTAAAAAGAGAGCATGAGCGGGAGGAGGGGCAGAGAGAGAGGAAGAGAGAGAATCTCAAACAGACTCCCCACTGAGCTCCGAGCCTGACATGGGGCTCTATCCCTGAGATCATGACCTGAGCTGAAATCAAGAGTCAGACGCTTAACCGACCGAGCCACCAGGTGCCCCTGATCTTTTTTTATTTTTATTTTTTTAATTTTTTAAAAATTTATTGAGACCCTAACATGTCTCTTTTGGAGAATGTCATATGTGCACTTGAGAAGAATGTGTATTTTGCCATTGTGGAGCGGTCTTCCTGTGACTGCTGTCGTCCTGTACATACCACAGCTGGAACTGGTTTTTGAATTGCGAGTATGATCTAAACAATCCCCTGCTTAAAATGAACTCTGGAGATAAAGTCTTATCTCTGTAAGGTAGTTTGTCACATCCTTCTTGAACTTGCTCCTGACTACCTGTCCAGAATCACATCTCCTCTTTACTTTTTAATTTTTTATTGTAGTAAAATACAAATTACATAATGTAAAATTCAGCATTTTAACCATTTTTGATGCATGATTCAGCAGCATTAAGTATATTTGCATTACTGTGCAACCTCCTCTTTTCTTTTGGACTCTGGGCTCCGGCCATCTTTTCGTGCTCAGACATTCATTTAACAAAAAGCTATTGAATGTCCACTAGAAGACAGGCACTGTTTGAGACACTGGAGGTACATCAGGGAACAAATTTCTGTCTAGAAATTCCCTGCCCCATGCAGCTTCCATTTCTCAATGGAAACAAAACAAAACAAATAAGTACAACATACAGCATGTTATTAGATAGTGACTCATATTAAGAAAAAAAAAACAGAGTAGGGAAGGGAAATAGGAATTGTGTGTGTGTGTGTGTGTGTGTGTGTTGAAATTTTAGAAAGAATCATCAGGGAAGGTCTCCCTGTGGAGACATTTGAGTAAAGTCCAGAAGGTACTAACGAGGTAAGTCATTTCTCCATTTGGGGGAAAAGCATTCCAGACAGAGGGAAGAGCAAGTACAAAGATCCTGAGGCAGGATCATGCCTGAAATATTGAATGCAAATCGAAGAGGTCAATTTGGTTAGTACAGAGTCAGATCACGTAGGACCTTTATGAAGCTTTTCATCATTTTCAACTGAAAATATGATCCATTCTCAACTGAAAATATGATCCAACTGAAAATATGATCTCAACTGAAAATATGATCCAAAATATGACATTTACTGCTTAAATTAAATTTTTTTTTCATCCGAGTGCAACAGGGAGCCCCTGGAAGTTTTTGAGCGTGATGGGATATGATCTATATTTTAAGAGATTACTTTGGCTGTTCTACTGAAAATACACATTAGGGAAATCGAGTATGGGACAGAGAGACAATTAGGAGGCTATTGTAAAAATCCAGGTGATAGCTATCTAATAAGTAGCTGTATATATAGGATTCTGGGGTGCAGGGGGAAAATGGGCTGGACTCCCAATTTGAGAGTTCCCAGCGTGTGAAATGGCCACACACTTTCCCGTTCACTATTGTTGTGGGAGTGGCCGAGGAGGTCTTTTGATGAACGAACATTATCGAGCTGAGTGCCCGCTAGGTGTGAGTGCTGACGCACCGGTTTTAGGCTTGGGTAGGTGAGAGGAGAGGGTGCCACTTATTGGCAGAGACAGGGGACACACGGAGAGGTGCAGTTGTGGGAGGAGCGGAGGGATCCGCGTGGGACGTGTTGCATTTGCGGCGTGTGTGGCGGCGTCCAGGAAGGAGCCGGCTGTGCGGGGTCGGGGTTCTGGGCTGGAGCCTTGGCACGCTGCCTTGGGAGTGGCTGGGAGCGAGCCCGGGGGAGCCTGAGTCTCTCAGCTGTCGGGAACAGGGATGACACATCTTCCCACATCCATTGTTTTCTGTTTCCCTTAAGCGCCTGCCGTCATCACACGAGACGCCCTAAATCCACCGCCACCCAACCATGCTTATTCCCACAGCCCCGCCCCTCGCCCCGCGACTGCGCAGAGCGGGAGGGGCGCTACACCCACCCCGCCGGGGGCGGGCCTTGCAGGCGGTGACGTCACGCGGAGCCGTGGCTTCGGCGGCCCCGCCCCCCTGACCGACCGCGGGGGCGGGGGGGGGCCGGCCGGCTGGACGCGGGGCGCTCGGGTCTCGGCGGGCCCCGGCCGCGGGGGGGTGCCTCAGGCCAGCTGGAGGAGGCTGCGCTCGGCCAGCAAGCCCTGGGTGCGGTTGTAGACATCCTCCAGGGTGCCCGCCACCCGGACCAGTGCGGCCCGCGCCTCCGCCTCCCCGGCGCCCGGGCACGCCAGCTCGAGCCAGCGGTCGCGACCCGGGAAGGCGAGGAACGCTAGGCGGGCGGCCTGGCGGACCAGCCAGGGGTGGTGCGGGCCCAGGGCCGTGCGGTACGCGTCGCTGCACTGCGCGCCGGCGTCCGGTCCTCCGAGCGTCCCGGTCGCCACCCGGTGGAGGCAGAGCTGGGACCAGCGCAGCGCTCGGTGCAGCAAGAGCAGGATCCGTGAGCCCGAGGAGCTGGTGGTGTCTCGGGGGGCGATCCCGGGGCGCTCCAGCAGTCCCTCCCGCCGCTCCCACGCCACCATGGCCACCAGCGAGGAGTAGTGCGCCGCCTCGGGGCCGTGCACCCGAGCCTCGAGGGTTGTCACTTTGGCGAAGGCCTCGCTCGTGGCGAAGGCGAAGGTGGAGCCGAGGGGAGTTAGGAACCTGCGTGTTCGGTGGCGGGCAGAGCGCGGTGGTTGGAGAGGGGGCGGGGGACCCCGGGAGGCGGGCGCCGGGTGGGGGGGGCGCGAGACCGCTCACCTGACCAGCGCCCTCCATCCGGCTAGGTACTGCGACAACGCCACATCCCCTTCGGGGTTCAGACTGGCGCGGAACGGCCACATCACGCGGCCCACCACCCCCTGGGGGCCCACACATTGAGGCTCTTCCCACTCGGGGGCCTCCAGGGGACCTGACTGCCGCGGGACCTGGGGGCAGACACGGGCGGAAGGGGGCGGGAGGAGAACCCCTAGCCTGCGGGGCCTCGTTCGCCCCGCAGCCCAGTGGGGCCCTGCAGAAATGAGTCCTACGGCTGGCGTCTCTCCTGCTGTACTCGGCCTCGGACGGGAGAGGGGACGCGCCGCCTGTCACCAGATCCTCAGCCTGGCCCCTCTGCCCCCGATCGGGGCCCCACCCGGAGCTCCCGGTCCCAGCCCCGTGCCGAGCATACCTGGACAGGCGATGTTCCCTCGGGAATGCACGACTGTGTCCCCGATCTGCAGCCTGAGAGGGCGCCTGGGGAGGGGCGAGACCCAGCGGTGAGGGCGCGAGGAGGGGGTCTAGGTTCCCAGCGCTTGGCTTCCCGGGTCCTCCCAGAGCCGAGGGAAGGGACCACTCACGAAAGCTCCAAGCGCAGAGATAAAGAAGCAGCAGCAAGAGGAGCGCGAGAGAAATCGCGTGGCGGACCCAGCGCCGCGAGGCCAGCGGAAGCAGCGCGACCCCCACGGCCGCTGCGGGGGCCATCGCCCCCTCTCCAGCCCCAAGCCAGCCCTTGTCCCTCCGCCTCGGGAGAAGCCTGCGGGGCCCTAAGTTGTTAAGGGTTAATAATTAACCTACTAAGGCCCCTTCCCCTGTGCTCTTTGCCCCAGAGGGCAGCATCCCAGCGGAGAACAGGATGAAGAAGATTTGGGGGGGGGGCGATTCAGCAGCAACCACTTGTCTCCGCGCTTGCCTTATGTGTAGGGCCAGGCTGTGTAAGAGGGAAGAGGGGCTGGGGTGAGAACCGGCTCCCCCACCCAGCAGTGGGTGTGGGCCCTACGCTTACTGGACTTGAATTCCCGCCGCCGTAAATTGAGGACAATAAATAATAGGTACTTTGTCGATCTCATCCGAGGGTTAGCTGATATCGTATGTGCAAACACTGTACATGGAAAAGCTGACCACAATTGCTCCATAACTCTTAACCTATGAAGTTCAAACATAGGGCAACTGGGATCCAGGAAGCACCCACTTTTAAATTCACAACCCTGTCTTCAGGGGACCTGTCTTGATCTGGATGCTTTGTATGTTAGGCTTTAACTGTTTACATTTTTGTGGTTTAATTCCTTTTAAACTCCAGATTGGTTCTGGTTCTCTGGTTATTCATTTTCTTGCGTGTGTGATTTTATTTTTTTTTAAGTAATCTCTATGCCCAACGTGGGATGAACTCATGGCCCGAAGATCAAGGGTTGCATGCTCTACGGACTGAGCCAGGCAAGCACGCCCCCCACATTATTCTTCAAACCAAACTTTAGTAACTATTTCTGCATCCAGGCCCTGTACTAGGCCTCAAGGAGACAAAAGAACCTTCACACAGCTCAAGGTCCATTGGAAAATGTACCTTCTGTCTCCCCCACACAGATGTGGGCTCCAATGAAGACAGGGGCCTTGTTTTTCCCGGTTGCTGTTCTATTTGCAGCACTTAGAATATTGCCTGGGCCCAAATACATTGTTGCTATATAAATATATATTGAATAAACACAGGAAAGTGTGGAGAGCGGGCAAATCGGGTGGTGTGCCCTGTGATAGATGAGCCATTCTTTTTTCTTCCCAAATTAGGAGTCCACCTGGTGGTCATAGCTAGGAAAACATTCAGGGGAAGGACCCAGGAAACGCCAGAAGAAACAGCATCTCTTGCTCCTAGGGCGTTCTCAATCCCCTGTCCATAAACTTCCTAGAATTGTTCCTGTCTGTGTATACTTTCTTCTCAGGGGAAGGGGTACCCCAGATTCTCTGGGAGTCAGGGCCCCAACCCCTATGAAGATCCTTTCTAGCTCCCACAGTTTCTGGATTCTTGCCCCATCTCTCCCTCTAATGCTCCCTCAAATCCTGGAGGTCCCTAAGGTTGCTGCTGACCAATCCTGTCCAGCATTTCAGAGCATCACTTCCATCCCTAGACTTAGGCTCTCCACTTCCCAGTGTAGGAGCTGGGAGTTTGCCAGCTTGCTGACCTTGACCTTAGACAAGTTGCTTGCCATTTCTAAACCCTGGTTCCAACACCTGCGGAATAGAAAGGGTAATCCCCACCTCCTATACTAGTTATGAGGATTGAATAACAAGGCCTGCAGGACTTAACCACAAGTCACAGCCTGGAGTAAATGTTCAGCAGGGGGTGGTTTATTCAAATGGTCAGTTCTCTTTGTCTTCCCGAGCAGAGAATGGAGTCTGCAGGGTTCCCGGAACGGATTAGTTTCGGGTGTCACTTAATCCGGGAGGCCCTTCCGTAATCAGAGCCTTCAGAGCAGCAGAGGGGGGTATAAATTGCGAACGGGGCCCAGCTCACAGGCTGCAGGATGGAGAGGGGGGCCAGAGCCCAGCTGTGGCTCCTGCTGTGGGTTACCTGCTGCGGACACGCACAAGCCCACCACCCGAGTGACTACACTTCGGTCATCGAAGTGACCAATGGGGGTCCTTGGGGCGACTGGGCCCAGCCTGAGATGTGTCCTGATGGATCCTTTGCCAGCGGGTTCTCGCTCAAGGTGAGGGCTCAGGCCTCGGTCTCCGAGGAGGGAGACGCACGACCCCGTGCCCGGGGACACAGGCTAGCAATCTTTTAAAGATTTATTTATTTATTTATTTATTTATTTGAGAGAAAGAATGAGAGAGAGAGAGAGAGCACATGAGAGGGGAGAGGGTCAGAGGGAGAAGCAGACTCCCTGCCGAGCAGGGAGCCCGATGCGGGACTCGATCCCGGGACTCGATCCCGGGACTCCAGGATCATGACCTGAGCCGAAGGCAGTGGCTTAACCAACTGAGCCACCCAGGCGCCCCACAGGCTAGCAATCTTTTAACTGGTCCTTGTTCCTCTGCTTCTCCCGGCCCAGGAGGAGACCCCCCAAGGCATTCCTGGCGACGACACTGCTTTGAACGGGATCCGACTGCACTGCTCAGGCGGGAACGCGGAGAGCAACACGCACGTGGTGGAGTCCCAGTCTGGAAGGTGCGGGACAGGGGCCAAGGGCCCCCAGGATGCAGCTGTGCCCCTTACCCTCTGTTACACGCCCACCCTCCCCGCTACAATGTTCCTCCAGGGCTGTGGGGCAGTTTAGAGCTGGGGAGTGGGTGGAAGACCTCCCCTCTGCCCCTCGGTGGAGGTCGGGTGACGGACCCCACCCACCCGGGTCCCGCAGCACCGGCTGAGGAGTCCCCAAGGCTCGGTCGGAATGGGGGTGGGGAGGACCCAGAGGCAGCGCTTCTCCCCTTCCCTCGCAGGTGGGGCACGTGGAGTGAGCCCCTGTGGTGCCCCAGCGGTGGCTTCCTCGTGGCTTTCTCACTGCGCGTGGAGGCCCCCAAGACCCTTGTGGACAACACGGCGGCCAACAACGTACGCTTCCGCTGCTCAGACCACACGGAGCTGGAGGGGCCCGGCCTGGCCTGGGGCAACTTTGGAGAATGGAGTAAGCCCTGCCCCAAAGGCATGTGCGGTTTGCAGACCAAGGTGGAGCGGCCGAGGGGCCTCCTGGATGACACCGCCCTGAACGACGTGCGCTTTTTCTGCTGCCACAATTAACGAGGGCGCCCGCCCCGGGGCCAATCCCACCGCTCGCTATTAAAGCTTCTCTGTCTTGGCTCTGGTCTGGCTTGTTTCAGGGGTAGGAAACTGCTGTCTCCTTGTCTTCCTCCCAGCCTGACACTGGGCCAGGCCCAAAGTCGGGTTTGGGCTCAGGTGTCCTGGCAGGCCACTGAAAGGTACGGACCCAAGGAAAATGCCCTTAAGCACAGTTCTGCGCCCGAGTTAAGGAAGTCCCTGGCTTCCTGAGGGCGTCTGCAGATACCTCGTCCTCATTAAGAGCTCAGTCTGTTTCCTTTCTGAACTACCAGTGACCTCAGATAGAGAAACTTCTACCAAGTTAGGAGACGATAAAGCTGGAACCCCTTAAACTTTCATTTTCTAAAGCTTATTTTTCACAGTTTCCTTCCTTTCCCCACAACAGTTAAAGAGTGGCTTTTCCATGTACGGATTTCCGCTTGGGACCTTTGTCCTTGCTGCTCCCCACCTGGAACCCCCCAGCTACCCAGCTGGCTAACTGATTCACTAGATTTCAGCTCCAATTCCACTTTCTCAGACTTCACCTTATCTTAAAACGTCCCTCCAGGGGCGCCTGGGTGGCTCAGTTGGTTAGGCGACTGCCTTCGGCTCAGGTCATGATCCTGGAGTCCCGGGATCGAGTCCCGCATCGGGCTCCCTGCTCGGCGGGGAGTCTGCTTCTCCCTCTGACCCTCTTCCCTCTCGTGCTTTCTATCTCTCATTCTCTCTCTCTCTCTCTCAAATAAATAAATAAAAAATCTTAAAAAAAAAAAAAAGGTCCTTCCAGCAGCCAATACCTATCCCATTACCAGCGTGTTTTTTTTAAAAAAGTGAAGTAATCCACTGCCTTTTCAAAAAAAATGTACCCATCTTAGACCCCTGGGTTGTTAAAATTCTTGGAGCGCACAGAACTAGCCTGTCTTGTTTACCACTGTATTTGAGCGCACACCGACAGCTCAGTAACTCCTAGCTAACACTTGCAGGGGGCCCGAAGAGGAGCGCCCCCAGGCCCCTCTGTATCTGGAGGCATCATCTGAGACGCGCAGGCGAGTTCAAAGGTTTATTTCCAGGGCGGGGTGGGCCGGGCGCGCGTCCAAGAGCGAGCAGGCCGGTCGGCGCAGCCTCAGCGAGGGGTGCCCTGCGGAAAAGAGAAGGTGAGGACGCAGCCAGGGAGCACGGAGGCTCTCGCTCCAGCTCCAGCCCTCGTCGCCCCACCTCCTTCCTGCAATCTCCGCAGAAGACACCGAGGGTGGCGTTCACCAGCTGCACCCCGCACAGCACGATCTCCAGGCACGAGGCGGCCACCAGCAGCGAGAAGAGTGTCACATTCCAGGAGACCACGCCAGGCGGCTCCACGCACAAATTCCACAGAGTACGGTTCTGCAAGTAAGAGCCTCTGCGGGGTGGGGGGCAGGGTCACGTGGGAGAGGTAGGGCACTCGGAGTGTCCTCCCTCCAGCCCCGCGCAGGCGCTGGAGGGGGGTTTGGCCCACGTGGAGGTGGCTTCCGCGAAGGCGCACCCCGTTCCCGGGTCCCCGAGTTCCCCATCCAGGTGGGAAAGGCAGGGTGGGGGGGGGGCGCGAAGCCTTACTTGGTGTCTCTGAAGTGGTAATCCCACCCGCGGTCCGTTAAGCATTTGGGTCCAATTCGGAGGCCGGCTCCCGACACCGAGAGGCAGTAGAGGGCCCCCAGCACCCCGAAGGCCGAGGAGAAGATGGAGCGCAGCATCTGGATGCGCAGTGCAAGGGGAGGTGAGCGGGGCCGCCTCCTCCCGCGTGCGCGCACCTTACCTCGCCCGGCTCGAGGCGCGGGAGAAATACGTCTCCCGGCAAAGCCCGGGGCTGGGCCTCGCGGAGGTTCGTGGGAGTCCTGGCTCCCTTTGCAGGCCCACTGAGGCTGAAGTTGGGGGGCGAGGGAGGGGCGAGGCAGAGCTGGGACTCTGCTGGGGGGGGAGCTCCCGGGGCTAGGGGGACCGTGGCTTCAGGTGTCAGAGGTTCAGGCTTCAGAGACCCAGCCCCGAGTCCTGCCCGCGTTTGGAGCTTACCCTGCAACGATTTCCACAGCAGCCTGCACCACAACAGCCCTTGCCCCCTGCCCGAACCGCTGAGATGCCCGGACACAGCACCTGCGGAGGAGGGTCGGTGTGACAGCAAGCCCCCCACCCCATCCTCCACACGTTTTGTGCATCGTGCATGGGTGCTCATCTTCCTCCTGGAGCTGCCTGGGATCCCCTCAGCCCTCTGGACCATAGGAAGACCTTGTCTCCATTACTCCCCGAGAGCCTTTGGGTTCTAATTTATTTATCATTATCTACGTGCCTACTTATCTGTGTTCAGATTGCAGCTTCCACGAGGGCAGGGCCCAATGGTAGCCTCCACAAATCTTGGCACCTAGTAGGTGCCCCACTGAGCCGGAGTCAGGGGGCCTGGGGTTGAGGCCCACCTTGTGCTCACTTCACACTCTGTGAATTGATTCATCTCTGTGGGTCTTCAAGACCTACCTCACAGGGCTGTGCTCAGGATTTAATGAAATAACAGGCCGACCTGAGGTCAAGACTGGCTCAGTACAGGTCCCCTCGGCAGCAGGAAGGATCAGTGGTGCTGGAGTGTCTGGTGAGCTGGGACCGGGTGGAGGGGGGAGGAGGGTGTCAGTGAATGCTCTGATGGGAAGTAGGGACTCCCAAGGCCCAGCCCTGGACCTTCCTGTCCTCCTTCCTCCTGTGGCCCTCCTCCCAGAGCCCAACCCTGTCCTCTGGGACAGTACTCGCCCCCAGATTCAAATCTACCTCCTTTCAGTGTCTCGGCTCAAACCAGCCAGCCTCAGACTGACCTCGCAGGTCCGCCAGAGTTCCCCAAGTTCACCTCCCTGTGACTTTTTTTTTTTGTCTCCATCAGTGTTAATATTCTTCAGGTCACCAACACTAGAAAGCTGGAATCCTTCACCCCCAGCCAGACCTCAAGTCTTCTCGACTTTTCCTTTAGCGATTCTCTAATCTTTCTGTCCTTCTGTCTCTGCACGGTCCCGTCCCCGATCACCTCCCACAAGGAGGACCTTCTCAGCTTCTCTATGGGTCGTCTGTATCTCTTGCCCCTGTGCGGCTGAACACTCCATCCTCCATTGCTCCCACCACAGTGAACTTAGCTTTCAACGGGGGCTTTTCTCTGCCCAAAGCCTTCAGGGTGTCCTCAGAGAGTAGCCCATCAAGACTGAGCTCTGGGAGGGGAGCCTGGGTGGCTCAGTCGGTGGACCGTCCGCCTCTTGGTTTTCGGCTCAGCTTACGATCTCAGGGTCATGGGATCGAGCCCCACGCTGGGCTCCGTGATCAACGTGGAGTCTGCTTGGGATTCCTTGTCTCCTTCTCCCCCTGTCCTTCCCCCCACTCACGTGCACACACACACTCCCACCCTAAAATAATAAATAATAATAAAGTCTTAAAATAATAAAGTCTCCAAAAAAAAAAAAAAGCAAACAAACCGCGGCTGAGCTCCAGGAAGGCATCCGAGGCTCCTCGCTTTGGCTCTAGTCTTAATTTCTTGCACCGCGCCAGGTTCTTCGCCCATCTCTGGAATTCTATAGCTCTCTTGATCTTTGCCTCCCTGTGTGCCCGGTGTGGTACAGAGTGTACCAGGCAGCATTTTGTTTCTCCCTAGAGGTGGCGCTGAGGGTTTTGATCCTGTTATCTCTTGCATCGTGACCTCATAGGGAGCTGAGCGGAGTTCTGCTGGATGCTCCCTCTCCTCTCTTTCATGTCCCCCAGCAGGTCTAGAACCAGTGCTGGCCCCTTTGCTTCACCTCTCTGGGTAGGACACTTAACTGGGAAGCTCCAGGATCCAAAGACACCTAGAATTTGGGATTGACCAGTTTCGAATGTCCAGCTACCTCTTTGAGATTTCTACTCTCTTAAAGTGTTTAAGTTCCTTTTGTTGTCCGAGCTCCTCTGTCTTACTCTGTGTCAAGAGAAGGGTCACGGTAAGTGCGGAAGGAAGCCCTGAGTTTACAGCTCCCATCTGCTTCCTTGGCCCCTGGCCCATTCTCAGCCACTATCAACTCTCCTGGACAACCACAGTGACCTCCGTCTGCGCTTACGTCACCAGCTCCCCTCCAACTCTTCCTCCGCACAGCAACCAGTGAGACCCTCTAAATCCAGCAGGGTATGGAGCAACTAAAGCTCTCCTAGTTTGCTGATGGGAATGAACTTGGGATAAGAACTTCAGAAAACTTTTTGGCAATATCTATCAGCACTGCATACTTGCACACCTTAAGAATTAACAGTTTCACCCCCTAGGTATCCATCCAACAGCCACGCAAACAGAACTTCACCTGAAGACATTTACAGGAATGTTTATAGCAGCATTACTTGTAATAAACCCAAGTTGGGGCCTATCTAAAAGGCCATCAACAGTAGGATGTTTAAATTAATTGCGGTCCATTCACACACTGGAATGCACCAGAAATAATAGACTACGTGTCTACCTAATGATACCGAAGAACCTCACAAACATATGTTGAGCTAGAGAAGCCAGACACAAAATTGTTATACTGGATGATTCCATTTATATAAAGTGTCGAACAGGCAAAACTAGCCTACGGGGCTAGAAATCAGGGTAGTGGGGACTCTCATGGGCGTAAAGCCTGGTGTGGGAGGCCTGTCTGGGATTCTGGTAATGACCTGTATCTTGGTCTGAGTGCTGGGTACATGGTGGGTTCACTGTAAAAATTCACTAGGCTGGGGCACCTGGGTGGCTCAGTTGGTTAAGCGTCTGCCTTCAGCTCAGGTCTTGATCCCAGGGTCCTGGGTTCGAGCCCTGCATCGGGCTCCCTGCTCAGCGGGGTGTCTGCTTCTCCCTCTGCCTGCCACTCCCCCCCTGCTTGTGTTCTCTTTCTCTCTGTCAAATAAATTAATAAAATCTTAAAAAAAAAAGGTATACTCTCTTGCTTACACGTGAAATTCAAAGAGGATAGAAAATGATGTTTAGAAAAAAAATGCTATAAACAGTGCCCACCCCCAGCATGCTGCTTCCTGTCCTTGGTCATACCTACTCCTATCTGAAACCATCTTGCTCATTTGTTTACTTTGCTCACCGAGGATTAATCGAGTGCCCGTCAAGTACAGGGGCACTGGACCAGGCAGGTACCTGGCACACGGAGCCAGCGAAACAGGCAGTCCTTGCTCTCATGGAGCTCCTGTTCCCGCTTCCGTGATACTGTGTTCTCTGCAGCGGGAACCCAGCTCCAGGGAGAGCAGGGACGTGGCCTGCGTCCCCGGGGAGCAGCAGGGACTGACTGTGCCGGCAAGCGGCTCAGGGCCTGGAGGTGGGAAGAGCGCACCTGGCAATGAGCATGGGTGGGGGGCATGCCCGGCGTGGGGATCCCCACCCCCAGGCGGGCTGGAGAGGAGTGCAGTGTGACACTGGGGGAGTGTGTAGGGAGGAATGTCTCTGTGGCCAGAGAAAGAGGCAAAGGAAGGGACCTTCGTCCATCCAGGGACTTTCATCCATGGGTGGGGTGGGGTTCATCTGAGTAGTGAGGAACCCTGCTGGGTAGGTCTCCTGTCTTCATCCCACGATGCTGTTAAACTACCCTGACCTTCCAGAAGTTCCCCCAAACAGGGAGGGTTTGGAGGGTGGAGAGGAGGAGGTCCGGGAGAGACGTCTCCCCTGCCCCCACTTGTGACAGATGCGAGTCTCCGGGAAGACCTGGGCACCTTCTCCAGCACGCTGACCTGAGTTCTGGGTTGGTGCAGCACCGGGTGGGCATCCAGAAGTGTGGGGCGCGAGTGAGGGGACCTGGAGGTGACCCTGCTCCTGACGCCAGCGTCCCCATACCCACACTCCATGCCCGTTATCAGCTTGCCCTGATAAGCGCCCCCACAGCTAGCTCTTCCCAGCGGTGCCCTAGCATCTGCTGCAGGGCAGGGGCTGGGAGGGACAGGTAGGATGCCCTCCCTACCCAGAAGGGAAGCTGCTTAGAGGCTCCTTCCTTCCTTCCTTCTCTTTTCCCATGCACGTTCAGCTCAGGTGCTGAACTCACAGGTGCTCAGTATCTGGGGGCGGCCTGGGAGGCTCCAGGCCTCCACCAGGCCACTGCCACCCGGCCCCGCCCCTCTCCCCTCTGCGCGCGCTCAGGACCCCGCTGCCCAGTGGTGTCCAGTCCGCTCACCATCAGGCCCCCGCCGAAGAAGCCAGCCATGAGCCAGACTTGTATGCTGAGCTGCTTGACGTTGGTCCAGGTGGTCTTGCCCTGAGGCACCAGCAAAAGGGCATTGGCCAGGATGCAGATCAGGGACAGGGGGATGAGGGAGAGCCCCACGAAGCGGGAGCACTTTCCAGTGCACATGGTGAGGCAGCCACAAGGATGCAAGCCCTGAGTGAAAGTAAGCCCGGGTTCCCAGGTCCAGAAAAAAAAACCAACAAGCCCGGAGCAAGGTACAAAGGTTGGGGAGAGATAAGAGAGAAGCGGGAGACCGGGCAAAGAGGAGGTGACGGTGGAGGGGGTGGGGAGCTTGACACAGAGGAAGTGGCCTGAGGTCAGTGTGTGTTCTTGCTCCTTTCCTGCATGCACCTGCAGCTCTCAGCATCCCCCCCCACCCCCGTGAGCTCCTCGCCGGCTTTGTGACTCAGCCAGGCCCCGAAGCCTGAGTCCCTGTGGCTTCGAGGGCGTGAAAGCTGGAGTGACCCCATGTCTTGTGTGGTAGGTCGTGCGGATGAAATGGGACCGTGTGGGGAGCGTTTTGTAAAATGGGCTGTGCTCAGCGGGCGTGCGGTGGCCCCCACGCTCCCAGTGGGCCCTCGAGGAAGGGCCTTCCTGGAAGGAAACTAAGAGGGTGCTGGTGGACCCTCATCATCTGTTCATTTCTGTTGTCAGTACTTGTTTAAAAAGCCCTCCTCCAGGGGCGCCTGGGTGGCTCGGTCGGTGAGGCACCTGCCTTCGGCTCAGGTCATGATCCTGGGGGCCTGGGATGGAGCCCCGCATCGGGCTCCCTGCTCGGCGGGAGGTCTGCTTCTCCTTCTGCCCCCCACCCCCCTTGCTCATGATCTCTCTTTCTCACACTCTCTCTCAAATAAATGTATAAAATCTCAAAAAACAATAATAAACTTAAAAAAAAAACCCAAATCATAGGGATTCTGAAAATTTCCTACAAAACGAGGGGCGGGGCACATCATCCTGAAGACTGAGAGAAAGAAAAGAACACTGGAGAAATACTTACTGTAGGATTTGGGTGGGATTTTCAGAAAGGTTTTCACTAGAATTCTCCTGGAAGCAGGAGCAGAGCACCGTAACATAGAAAGGTTGGGCCGCGAAGGCGCCAGCATGCATTTGGGGGAGAAAAGAGAGAATTGCACAGAACCTCAAAATGCGCAGAGAGAATCGAAGCCCACATGGGAGAGCAGGACTGCCACAGTGAGTGGCAGGGCCGGAGTGAGTGAAGGGTGCAGGGGACACGCTCGAGATGTCCCGGGTAAGGAAAATGGCTGTTTCCAATGACCCGGTAGAGCTGGTGGCCGAGACGCCCCAGCCCACAGTCTGCGTGAGGAGCAAGCTGCTCTGGGCATGGGTCCACCTGTGTCCGCTGGTCAAAAGGCACAGGGCATCCTAGTAAGATGTTAAAAGCCAGCCGAACCTGGATTCATCCTGAAGAACCACATCATGAAAGGATACATGTAGGCAGCATTAAAGGTCACCTAGAAAGGAACAAAAATTGGCCTGGCCCGAGATTTCTCTGCGGCCCTAAATGCCGGAAGACAGAGAAACGGGGTCTATGATTCTGACAGCAAGCAAGGCACTATGTCCCAACAATCGTATGAATATCCAAGGTGCTTTTTGTGTGTGGGAAGGGCAGTAGAATCACATTTCTGAGAATGCTTGGGTTTGAAATACAACTGTGTCTCTTTCTTCTCCTTTATTAATTCCTTTTAAAAGTATTTGAAGTCACTGAGAGATGTAGTAAAAGAAAAATCCCCCAAGTGGGGAAGTCCTGACGTAACTCTAAATAACTTTTATCGGGCGCCTGGGTGGCTCAGTTGGTTAAGCGACTGCCTTCGGCTCAGGTCATGATCCTGGAGTCCCGGGATCGAGTCCCACATCGGGCTCCCCGCTCAGTGGGGAGTCTGCTTCTCCCTCTGACCCTCTTCCCTCTCGTGCTCTCTATCTCTCATTCTCTCTCTCTCAAATAAATAAACAAAATTAAAAAAAAATAAATAACTTTTATCAAACTGAGTTGTGAAGCTGAATGTCGGTTTCAAAAAGAAAAGCCTCTCAAAGAGAAAAATACATATAAATCCTAAAAATTATATTAACAGTTGTAAAGATGTCCATGGTTTATTGTGTGCTGTGCCCAGAGTCCATTTTAAGGAAATAAATATGAAATAACAGAAAACCCAACTCTACTGAAACCAAAAGGGAATCTATTGGTTCAGGTAATCAAAACGTCCAAAGGTAGAACTAACTTTCAAACATGATTGATAAAGAAGTCATCGATAGGCTGGACTTCATTAATATTAAAAACTTGTGCTCTGCAGGAGTCACCATCAGGAGAATAAGACAAGCCACAGACAAGGAGAAAGTATTTGCAAAAGACACAGCTAATCAAAGACTGTTACCCAGGACATACAAAGCATTCTTAGGGGACACCTGGGTGCCTTAGTTGGTTAAGTGTCTGCCTTCCGCTCGGGTCATGATCTTGGGGTCCTGGGATCGAGCCCCCACGTCAGGCTCCCTGCTCAGTGGGGAGTCTGCCTCTCCCTCTCCCTCCCCCTGCTCGTGTGTGCTCTCTCCCTCTCAAATAAATAAATAAAGTCTTTAAAAAAAGCAACAACTCAACAATAAAAGAAAGAACAGCCCGATTAAAAAATTGGGCAAAAGACCCAAATAGACACTTCCCCAAAGAAGATATCCAGCTGGCAAATAGCATATAAAAAGAAGTTCCACAGCATGTCATTAAGGAACTGCAAATACCCCAATAACAACGGGACACTGCCACACACCTACGAGAATGGCCAAAATCCAAAATGTTGACATTACTAAGTGCTGACGAAGATGTGGGGAGACAGAAACTCTCAGTCCCTGCTGGTGGGAATGCCACATGATGCAGCCGCTTTGGAAGAAAATCGCAGTTTCTTATAAAACTAAACATGCTCACCATACAGTCCCACAATTGGACTTTTAGGTATTTACCCAAACGAGTCAAAAACCTAGGTCCACACAAAAAAACCTGCACATGACGTTTATAGCGGCTTTATTCTGGACTGCTAAAACTTGGGAGCATCCGGGCGCCTGGGTGGCTCAGATGGTTGGGCGTCTGCCTTCGGCTCAGGTCATGATCCCAGAGCCCTGGGATAGGGTCCTGCATCGGGCTCCCTGCTCCTTGGGAGCCTGCTTCTCCCTCTGCCTCTCTCTCTTTCTCTCTCTGTCTCTCATGAATAAATACAAATAAAAAAAATCTAAAAAAAAAAACAAAACTTGGAAGCACCCAAGATGCTCCGTGGTAGGTGAGTGGATAAATAGACTGTGGTCCATCAGGACAATACGTTATTGTTTAGCGCTAAAAAGCAATGAGCTTTCAGTCCACAAAAAGACAAAAATGAGACGTAACTGCATAATGCTAAGTGAAAGAAGCCAATCTGAAAAGGCCACGCACTACGTGATTCCAGCCCTAGGATGCGTGGGAAAAGGCAAAACTCTGGGGACGGTAAAAAGGGCCGCGGGTGCAGGGGCCTGGGAGGGGAGAGGGATGGACAGACAGAGCAGAGTGCATGTTTGGGGCAGTGACATTATTCTGTGTGATGCTGTCATGGTGAACCCAGGTCGTGAAAGGCGTTTGTCCAACACCAAAAGTAAACCCCACCGTAAAGTGTGGCCTTGGGTGATGATGATGAGTTTGTGTAGGTTCACTGACTGTAACACACGCACCACGCTGGGGTTAGGTGTTGACCGTGGGGGGGCCCCGGCGGTGTAATGGACACACTCTATACTTAATAAATAAAATATAGAATCCACTCAATGTAGTGGCCTTAAACTGCTCCAGAAAAGAAGTCTGGTTAAAAAAAAAAAAAAAAAGTCTCCAAGCTAAGAGAGTAGATTTTTTTTTTTAAGATTTTTATTTATTTATTTGACAGAGAGAGACACAGCGAGAGAGGGAACACAAGCAGGGGGAGTGGGAGAGGGAGAAGCAGGCTCCCCACTGAGCAGGGAGCCCGACGTGGGGCTCGTTCCCAGGACCCTGGGATCATGACCTGAGCTGAAGGCAGATGGTTAACCAACTGAGCCACCCAGGTGCCCCAAGAGAGTAGATCTTAAAAGTTCTCATCACGAGAAAAAAATAATTGCATCAATGTGAGGCGCTGGATGTCAAGTACACTTCTGTTGGGGATCGGTTTACGGTAAATGCATGTCCCTGTTAAACCTATGGAGCCTTATATCGGTTACATCTCCCTCTTACAAAG